TTTTGGGAAAATTAATGTAAAGGCAAAAAGGTCCCAAAAGGGAAAAATTTTCCCCCTCGAGTGGGGTTTAAAAGAAGTGTTTTTTGGCCTAGTGGTTGGGAAGGGTTTTTTCTCCGGGAAAAAAAATTGGAAACTCAAGTGCCTGCAAATAATGGATAATACACCTGCTCCCCCTCCAAACTTGGAAAGAAAACCAATTTTTGGGGGAGTTTGGGGTTTTCACAGGAAAAATTTTCCCTTTCCCCCCCCAAAAACCAATCCCCTTTCCCCCAGCCCATGGAAACCCGCAGGTCATTTCAAACTTTAAAAAACTCTACACAAAAAACAATGTTTCACAGGGGCTTGACTGGCCCCCCAGACACCACTTGAAACCCCAAAAGGGGAAATTTGGGGAGAACACGGCAGCATCCTCCATTGCAAAAACCCTTTTAGGTATGGGCTTTGGGGGGGAGTGACTACCAGGGCTTCGAGTCTGCCCCGGAGAAAATTTTTGGGCCAAAATTTTGTCCCACAAGAGGGATTTTTTAAGGTTTTGGGACTGACCCCCGAGACCTATGTCTGTTTTTTTAAATCATTGTGGCCTGGGGGGGTTCCAAGGGGGGTTTTTTTTGAGTTTGGGGGATGTGGAAAGAATTGGGGGAAGACCACAAAGAAGAGCCACCACTGAGGGGGCTTTCAAGAATTCCACAGGAACAGAACAGATCGCAGCTCCCCAAAACCCTTTCTGCAAGGGGGGAGGGAAAAGTGTGGAAAATGGTCCCTTCCCTTTAGAAATTAAAGAGATTTTTGCTATGTGGGGTAAATTGGGAAAACTTTTATGGGGAAACATCACCCTAAAAAAGGTTTTTTGTCAAACCATATTTGGCCCCAAAAAAATGTACAGTGGGCAAAATCTTGGGGCCCTTTTAGGGAAATGTTTTAAAAAGACCCCCAAAAAAAGAAACTCTCTGCACAGTTAAATTTTGGGGAGACAGGGCCCAGTGACTCCAAGGGGGTCCTAAAGTGGCAAAAAAAAACAAGAAAGAAAACAACCCCAGAAAAGCAATTGGTACCTGAGGTGTTGGGTGGAAGGGGGTTTCCCCCCTTTCCAAAAATAAAACAAATCCCCTCTCCCCCCCCCCTTTTCCCCCAGTCTCCCATACACTAAGAAGAAAACTCCAATAAAGGTAATGGTTTTTTGCTGTTTTTGTTTCATTTTATCATTCCCATTGTTTTTGTTTTTTGTTTCTTTTCATGTATATTTCATGTAAAAAAATTTTTTTTTTTTAAAACTTCTGGGTTTTCAGGAACGGATTAATTGGGGTTTACATAATTTCCCCTTTTTTGGGGAAAATTTTATTCGTAAAAACGTAAATTTCGTTTATAGTAATGGCTCCCGGAAAGGATTAAATTTCGAAAAAAAAGAAAGGGGCCCCTGGGAAATTTAATTTTTTTTTGGGCCCCATAAACAGCAGATAACTGGGAAAATGAGGAAAAACCCAAATTTTAATATGGGGGTGTTCTTCCCAAATTTCTCGTTTTTTAGCTGTTTAAAAATTAGAACTGAAGAACTAATCATATTGAAAGGCTTCCTCTAATAAATATTTTTCTTGGGGTTTAGAGACTAACCAACCCCCAGTCCCCCTCAACCTGGAGAAGAAGGGATTAAAGGAAATAAATCCAACACCTTCAAGGGTGATGGACTGATTTTTAACGTTTTTTCCCTCCCCTTTTCGCTGCTCCTGTAATCTTCTGTACTTTACTGAAAAAGCCTACTGTGTAGGCGAAACGTTTTTGGGAAAAAACTGTTTTCACAAAGTTCTTTTTTTCATACTTCTGAAAAAGGTATATCAAAAAATATCTAGCCCTGAATTGTTTCTAAGAGTCTTTTTCCCCAACCCCAATTCCGTACCAAAATGGAGGGGAAACTGTTTTACTGATATAATACAATACGCCTTGGAGTATGGGAGAAGATTTGGGTTAAACTGAAGGGTTTCCAGAAGGGGATTTTTAAGGGGGGGTTTAAAACCCACCCAGACTGGGGCCCCGACCAGGCCTCCTGGGGGGATCAAAGGCCCAAATTTAAATTTGGCGTTTTCTGCTTTGGGCCCCACACAGCGAACGTTTCAAAAACAGTCCCCGCCCGGGCATTAACGAATTTTAAATAATAAACGTCAAGTTTTCTTTCCCCTTTTGAAGAGAGCAGAAACTTTACTATAACCTTTGATAAAACCTTTGATGAGCTTCCAGAGTTTCTCTACTCCCGGCCCAAAGGCCATTGGGGCAGGTTTTTTTGGTGCTACCTGGTCAACCGGTTTACAATGCTAGTGGGCTGCTGACCCACATATCCCCTCAAAAAGCCTGGTTTGGGTTCCCGGTCTAAACCCAAAACCGGGGGGGTGTTCTGGGGGTCAATAAACCCCCCTTTGGGCCCCGTCCCCTTTACCAGTCCGTAGGTCCCGGAAAACCCCTCCCTCCAGGGGGGTTTTTTCCCGGGGTAAATTATGATTGTTTTCCCCTTTTCCCACATTTTTTAAAGTGTTCCCGTTCAAAAACATTTAAAAAGGGGTCCCCAAAAATAATTTAAATGGGGAAAAAATTGTACACAAGCAGGAAAGTTTCCCCCTGTACATTTTTTCCCCTCAGCAACCTCACCTGCCTTTTAAAAGGGGAAGGTCAGTAAACCAAAAAAATATAAACCCGCCTATTTTTGAAAGGGGGGTAGTCAGTAACAACAGTATACCACCCCACCTTAAGGAGGTTGCAGTAAACGACAATATAAACCAGCCAAACCCTTTAAGGTGGTAGTCAGTATACAAAAAGTATAAAACCCGCCTAACCCCTTTAAAAGGGGGTAGTTCCCCGTATACCAAAACCGGGATAACCCCCCAACCCCTTTAAGGAGGTTGGCAGTTAAAAAACGACAAAATACCACCTACCTTGAAAGGGGGTAGTCCCGTAAACGAAAAAAAAAACCCCGCCTACCTTGAAGGTGGAAATTTGTAAAAACAAAGTATACCAGCCTACCTTGAAGGTGGGAGTCAGTATAAAAATAGTATAAACCCGCCTACCTTGAAAGGGGGTTTGTCATTTTAAAAAAAGTATACCCCCGCCTAAAACCCTTTAAGGTTGTATAATAACAACAGTATAAACCCGCCACCTGAAGGTGGGGAGTCAGTATACACAATATACCACCCCACCTTTAAGGTGGTAGTTTAGTATACAATAGTATAAACCCGCCACCCTTGAAGGTGGTAGTCATATAAAAAACAGTATACCAGCCTACCTTGAAGGTGGTAGTCAGTATAAAAACAGTAACCAGCCTGCCTTGAAGGTGGTAGTCAGTATACAATATAATACCAGCCTGCCTTGAAGGTGGTAGTCAGTATACAAAGTATACCAGCCTCCCCTTGAAGGTGGTAGTCAGTATACAACAGTTACACAGCCGCCTTGAAGGTTGGTAGTCAGTATACAACAGTAAAACAAGCCTACCTTGAAGGAGGTCGCAGTATAACAACAAATACCAGCTCCCTTGAAGGTGGTAGTCCAGATACAACATTAACCCAGTTTACCTGAGGGTAGTCAGTATTTACAAACAGTATAACAGCCTACCTTGAAGGTGGAGCAGAATACAACAGTATACCACCTACCTTTGAAGGTGTATCAGTATACAACAGTATCCCAGCCTACCTTGAAAAGGTGGTAGTCATTTATACAACATATCCAGCCTTACCTTGAAAGTATAGTCAGTATACAACGTATTCCAGCCACCTTTGAAGGTATTAGTCATATACAACATTTATTCCAGCCTGGAGAACAAGTGATTTAAGAGTATCATCAATGCCTCAGCATTTTTGTCTTGAGAGTTTTAGTTATCCATTCTAATCATTTTTCCTTGGGCAAAACAACAAAATTGTTTGTATTCTTGAACGTGACGCTTCTGACATTTATTTACTTAAATTGTAAAATTACGACAATATTTTAGGTAAAAGGACACAAGGAACTAATGTAACATTTTACTGTGGAAAACGTTTGCTCTACAGGAGCATTTCAAAGCCAAACAGTTAATAAAGCTTTTTGAGAGCAAAACATTGCCACAATAAATTGCCCAAATTAGTTGCATTGTGTCCTCTTACTGACTTTATTACTCCCAATTCTCGCACATGACTTTCTCTAATAAATTATTAAGTTGTCCTGTAAGTGTTCATCTATTTCCCCCAAGCCCCTTTAAAACAGAGCAGCTAAATCTTACCCTACTGAAATATGGTTGTATAGGCCACTGAAAACTTGATTTATATCGGGCTGAAGGCCCGCAAATTTTCAAGCAGATGATTTATACCCCGGTTAAAGCACGGCAAATCTTCAAGCAGATGATTTATATCCGGTTAAAGACACGGCAAATCTTCAAGCAGATGATTTATATCTGGCTGAAGACATGGCAAATCTTCAGGCAGATGATTTATATCCACTTGAAGATTTGCCATATCTTCAAGCAGGTTTAAATCAAGTCTTCCAGTATCCCTCAGGCAACAATATCATGTTCGATGAGGACAAGTTTAAGTTGCTCCGCTACAGAAGAATGGAGGAAATAAAGACTATAACGGAGTATACACACTGCTTGTGAATATTTGTTCAAAGTATTTTTTGAAGTGGTTGGTTCTGTTATTTGCTGACGTAACACTAATACAGTGGTACCTCGAGTCAGAAAATTAATTCATTCCAGAAGGCTGTTCGAGAGCCGATGTTTCAGACCCCCAAAAATACACTTACAAAAGCACTTACAAAAAGCACACTTACATAATTGTTCGAGTTGGGAGTTGTTCGAAACTCGAGGTACCACTGTATATTACACCAGAGAGGTACCAGATCAACCAAGCACCAGTTTGACTTACACTAGTAAGTCATACTGGTGCCTGGTGCCTAGTATGACTTACTAGTATGAGCATTACACCCACTAGTATGACTATTTACAATAGTACAACTATTACACTTGTATGGAGCTGGATAAGAGAGTACATTACCTACAATAGTTGTAGTAGGATAGTACACTTGGAGGGTCACTGCCTCAGCTCATCTTACCTGCAATACAACAAATATAACATTAATAATCATCACACTTGCAACACAGTGTCACCACTAATAAATACCTGCAACACAGTGTTACCACTAATAAATACCTGCAACACAGTGTTACCACTAATAAATACCTGCAACACAGTGTCACCACTAATAAATACCTGCAACACAGTGTCACCACTAATAAATACCTGCAACACAGTGTCACCACTAATAAATACCTGCAACACAGTGTTACCACTAATAAATACCTGCAACACAGTGTTACCACTAATAAACACCTGCAACACAGTGTCACCACTAATAAACACCTGCAACACAGTGTCACCACTAATAAACACCACAAATGATATAGTTTAGTACTGACAGTAAAGAGAGAGACTAAGAATCTCCTTATTACACCTATCTATATACCACTTGACGCAAGTCTCCTGTAGTTCCAAGACCAACGATTTAACTCTTAAACCGTCCAAACGTAAATGTACGTTCACTTTTGTAGCGCTCTGAATATTTTTGGGATTTTTTTTTTATTTCATTTAAAATGAAGAGCGCATTTTCCCGGCGTCCCCGAATTTTGTAATACTGCACACACTGAGTGCACAGACCCATTTTCTCATGTCTAGGCAACTCAGGCCTATCGTGCCACAGTCGAAAGCATGTAAAATAAAACGTAGATCTACGTTCAAGCGCTACGCACGTGAAAGTAGATCTACGTTTGGATAGTTTAACCCTTAAACGGTCCAAACGTATATATACGTTCTCTCGTGTAGCGCCCTGAATATTTTGAGAAAAAATCTTTCAAATGAGCTGATGTAGGTAACAGCTCTTAGCTTGCCAATAAAGTTAGGAATCCTTAACCTGTAAATAGCTGTCAATAAAGTTAGGGATCCTTAACCTGTAAATAGCTTGTCAATAAAGCTAGGGATCCTTAACCTGTAAATAACTTGTCAATAAAGCTAGGGATCCTTAACCTGTAAATACTTGTCAATAAAGCAGGGATCCTTTAACCCGTAAATAGCTTGTCAATAAAGAGGAATCCTTAACCTGTTTTA